TTTGTGGTGTACGATGCGTGCCGTTATGTATTGTACGTATAGTTGTCGGCCGTACATCAACAAGTACGACACCATGGTGTAGTGGAATCACNATCTGTCTAACACACAAAAGGTCCCCAGATCGAAACTGGGTGGCGTCAAAACAGGCACTCACTGGACGACTCACTGGATGACTCTTGCTAGAGAAACGGGCGCTGCATCTGGCGAGGTGCATGTCAGTGGGACAGCCGCATTTTGTACCTGGAAGTGACAAATTCAGTGCCAAGCACATCGACTTGTTGTGCGCGCGGGGGTTAGGATCCAAACAGAATGGTTACTGAACGTCATTCAGGCCATTTGTAGTCAAGACTGTATCTTGGAGCCTGTTAGTACACTTGAATAATCCTACTACCAGCCTCCTCCACAAGGCGAGTCATCAGGCAAAGCTGCTGGGTTCGCACCTTCTGGGGACACTCCTTCACTGCTTGATCAGGCTCCCGGGGCTGGATGGGGTTCCTGGCCTCGCCGGCCGGCATCCTTGGTCCGGGGGGAAGAATGGCTGCTCTCTTGCAGATGGCAGGGTGTTTCGATGTGTTTGATAATGACCATGTCTGGAGAGCGGTCCCGAGGCTTCGGTGGTGCTGTCCGTGGATCCCTAGCTGACATGTTCTGCGCGTTGGCCTGCTGCAGAGCGGCCTGGTCTACGTTGCCGCTCAGAAGCTCCTCAGCGGCTTCAAGATCGTGTTGAGTGGCTGGCGGCCACTGACCCGATCCCCCGTCGCCGGCCGGCTGCGTTGATGGCTCCTGTGTTGACCAAATATAGTCTCCCGTTGTCTTTTCATTCTTACCCTCATGGTTCGTTTATGCTGGGACTGCTCGTGGTTTATCCTTGGAGAGCGACGGTCCCTCGTGGATGGCGTCGATGATCCTTGAAAGTAGTCGGTGAGGTCTTGGAATGATCATTAGTTAGGGTCGTTCCCTCCCTCCCACCCTCAGTGTCCCTCGTTTACAAGTTGCAGGCTCGGCCCAGTTTGAGACCTGATGATTGGGGAGCTCACTCGGATCGGCAGACACAGCACCTGTGTGTGTCCTTTATGTGGTGTACGATGCGTACCGTTATGTATTGTTTGTATAGTTGTCGGCCGTACATCAACAAGTACGACACCATGGTGTAGTGGAATCACATCTGTCTAACACACAGAAGGACCCCAGATTGAAACTGGGTGGCGTCAAAACAGGCACTCACTGGACGACTCACTAGATGACACTTGCTAGAGAAACGGGCGCTGCATCTGGCGAGGTGCATGTCAGTGGGACAGCCGCATTTTGTACCTGGAAGTGACAAATTCAGTGCCAAGCACATCGACTTGTTGTGCGCGCGGGGGTTAGGATCCAAACAGAATGGTTACTGAACGTCATTCAGGCCATTTGTAGTCAAGACTGTATCTTGGAGCCTGTTAGTACACTTGAATAATCCTACTACCAGCCTCCTCCACAAGGCGAGTCATCAGGCAAAGCTGCTGGGTTCGCACCTTCTGGGGACACTCCTTCACTGCTTGATCAGGCTCCCGGGGCTGGATGGGGTTCCTGGCCTCGCCGGCCGGCATCCTTGGTCCGGGGGGAAGAATGGCTGCTCTCTTGCAGATGGCAGGGTGTTTCGATGTGTTTGATGATGACCATGTCTGGAGAGCGGTCCCGAGGCTTCGGTGGTGCTGTCCGTGGATCCCTAGCTGACATGTTCGGCGCGTTGGCCTGCTGCAGAGCGGCCTGGTCTACGTTGCCGCTCAAAAGCTCCTCAGCGGCTTCAAGATCGTGTTGAGTGGCTGGCGGCCACTGACCCGATCCCCCGTCGCCGGCCGGCTGCGTTGATGGCTCCTGTGTTGACCAAATATAGTCTCCCGTTGTCTTTTCGTTCTTACCCTCATGGTTCGTTTATGCTGGGACTGCTCGTGGTTTATCCTTGGAGAGCGGCGGTCCCTTGTGGATGGCGTCGATGATCCTTGAAAGTAGTCGGTGAGGTCTTGGAATGATCATTAGTTAGGGTCGTTCCCTCCCTCCCACCCTCAGTGTCCCTCGTTTACAAGTTGCAGGCTCGGCCCAGTTTGAGACCTGATGATTGGGGAGCTCACTCGGATCGGCAGACACAGCACCTGTGTGTGTCCTTTATGTGGTGTACGATGCGTACCGTTATGTATTGTACGTATAGTTGTCGGCCGTACATCAACAAGTACGACACCATGGTGTAGTGGAATCACATCTGTCTAACACACAGAAGGTCCCCAGATTGAAACTGGGTGGCGTCAAAACAGGCACTCACTGGACGACTCACTGGATGACACTTGCTAGAGAAACGGGCGCTGCATCTGGCGAGGTGCATGTCAGTGGGACAGCCGCATTTTGTACCTGGAAGTGACAAATTCAGTGCCAAGCACATCGACTTGTTGTGCGCGCGGGGGTTAGGATCCAAACAGAATGGTTACTGAACGTCATTCAGGCCATTTGTAGTCAAGACTGTATCTTGGAGCCTGTTAGTACACTTGAATAATCCTACTACCAGCCTCCTCCACAAGGCGAGTCATCAGGCAAAGCTGCTGGGTTCGCACCTTCTGGGGACACTCCTTCACTGCTTGATCAGGCTCCCGGGGCTGGATGGGGTTCCTGGCCTCGCCGGCCGGCATCCTTGGTCCGGGGGGAAGAATGGCTGCTCTCTTGCAGATGGCAGGGTGTTTCGATGTGTTTGATGATGACCATGTCTGGAGAGCGGTCCCGAGGCTTCGGTGGTGCTGTCCGTGGATCCCTAGCTGACATGTTCGGCGCGTTGGCCTGCTGCAGAGCGGCCTGGTCTACGTTGCCGCTCAAAAGCTCCTCAGCGGCTTCAAGATCGTGTTGAGTGGCTGGCGGCCACTGACCCGATCCCCCGTCGCCGGCCGGCTGCGTTGATGGCTCCTGTGTTGACCAAATATAGTCTCCCGTTGTCTTTTCGTTCTTACCCTCATGGTTCGTTTATGCTGGGACTGCTCGTGGTTTATCCTTGGAGAGCGGCGGTCCCTCGTGGATGGCGTCGATGATCCTTGAAAGTAGTCGGTGAGGTCTTGGAATGACCATTAGTTAGGGTCGTTCCCTCCCTCCCACCCTCAGTGTCCCTCGTTTACAAGTTGCAGGCTCGGCCCAGTTTGAGACCTGATGATTGGGGAGCTCACTCGGATCGGCAGACACAGCACCTGTGTGTGTCCTTTATGTGGTGTACGATGCGTACCGTTATGTATTGTACGTATAGTTGTCGGCCGTACATCAACAAGTACGACACCATGGTGTAGTGGAATCACATCTGTCTAACACACAGAAGGACCCCAGATCGAAACTGGGTGGCGTCAAAACAGGCACTCACTGGACGACTTACTGGATGACACTTGCTAGAGAAACGGGCGCTGCATCTGGCGAGGTGCATGTCAGTGGGACAGCCGCATTTTGTACCTGGAAGTGACAAATTGTCGTGCGCGCGGGGGTTAGGATCCAAACAGAATGGTTACTGAACGTCATTCAGGCCATTTGTAGTCAAGACTGTATCTTGGAGCCTGTTAGTACACTTGAATAATCCTACTACCAGCCTCCTCCACAAGGCGAGTCATCAGGCAAAGCTGCTGGGTTCGCACCTTCTGGGGACACTCCTCCACTGCTTGATCAGGCTCCCGGGGCTGGATGGGGTTCCTGGCCTCGCCGGCCGGCGTCCTTGGTCCGGGGGGAAGAATGGGCTAAATGGGCTTAATGGGCTCTGCAGGGCCGGGTGCAGGACGCTTGGCGATGTTCTTGGTCTACACTTGTGCGTTGCCTATTTGGGCAGGTGGGGGCTGCATGGGGGCAGGGGCTCTAAAACCCGTAGCCATGAGCAGTGCACCCAGTACTTGGAGGCCGTATTCCCTGCGTGGAAAAAAGACAAAGAACAGGGGAGATGATTAGAGACCCGCACACCAGGTTTGTGTCGGCTTGTGACGCAGCACACGCAGCAGCACATCCAGTACACAGTACGGATATAGAATGTGCGTACATACGCACCCTCAACCCTTGGGCCAAATACATACAACGCTCATCTATATAGCCAACGCATGCCCGCCTCATTAGCTCTATGTTTCCCGGGGATCTGGCCAGAAAGTGTATCTGTGGGATGTGTGGGACCATACCTGCTTGCAGATTGCGCACAATCTGTGGTGGGGGTGAAAGAGGACTTCAACAACTACTAATGTAAATGCCTGGCTGATTACTCGCCTGGCTGATTCCTTGTGGCTTGCGGCTTGTGGCTTGTGGGTGATGGCTGCTATCCCCTCTGCAGCCTTGACTTGAACGAAAGCACGCATAATGATCCTCACCCCGGGAGCCGAATCAGGCCGGGGATGGAGAGGAGTCTTGTTTCGTGTTTCAGGCTCAGTGCACAAACTCGTGTGACGGAGCCTTGACTCGTGAGAGCGTGCGTGCGTGCAACGTTTCCCAACCCCGGGGGAGCAGAGCGGAGCTAGCAGACCTGCAGCTCTCGGCTGCTTAGGAGAGGACAGAGGCCCCTCGTGCCCCTCTCCCGTCCGCGGTAGAGAGCTTAGGCGGTCTTTCTGTTGGGTGTGTGTAGCAGCCCCTGGCCAGTGTCATGCCCGGTCACATACTTGTAACCTTTTCACACACACACACACACGCAGGCACCGACACACACACACATACAAACAGACTCACAGGCACAGACTCACAGGCACAGACACACAGGCACAGACACACACAGGCACAGACACACACAGACACACACGCACAGACACAGACACACTGCGTCTTGGACTGTCATCCTAACTGCATCGCTTCCCCTTCAGTGCCTCAAAGCTCCAGCAGCTCCTACTAGCACAAGATGGCACTAGTGCCATCCATGGCCACAGCCAACAAATAAAACCTCACCGGCCTACTCAACTGATGCTGACCTACGGTGGGCAGACACCAGCAACAGACACCAGCAACGGATGTACACTGCCATGGTGCAGCCTTCGTGTTGCTGCTGTGCTGTCCCGGCATCGATGTTAACATACAACGAATTCGAATTCGTCCTGTACACCATGGGCCGCTACAAGCCGCCTGTCGGCGACCTTATTGCAGAGTCAGACTGCGAGTGCATCATTGAGTAGCTGTCTGTCGCAGTGCAAGAACCGGAGGTGAGCTATGGAGGCGGGCTTCAAGGTTTTTTTTGGAACCAGGTATGCCCATCATGTGCCTAGTGCGCCCCTGATGAGTTGCTGGACGCAGTGAGGTGAGGCGAGTATCCCTGGCTGGGCGAGTCGGCAGAGCCGGGCGACCACGGGGTAAACTGCATTGGAGAGCTCTGGTGTCGTCGCAACTGCGGGCTGCTTTGGTGCTGGGGCAATGGTGGACTGGTTGCACGTTGTTGCAGCTGTGGGCTGCTCCGGCGCTGTCGCAACCGTTGGCTGCTGTCCACTGCGGTGATGGACGGCAGCAACGGCGGCGGAGTAGCTCCTGAGGAAGGCGGTGTCAAACAGTCCTGAGGGCTGCGGCTGGCGCAGGGAGGCGGTGACGCCTGTCACGGGGGAATGCAGGTACCAAAGACTGGGATGAAGAATGTATAGTGACCGCAGGTGAAGGTAGTACGAAGAGTACTGATGGCTTGCACCATACCAGATTTCAAGTGCACATCTCCATGATTCATAGGGGCTCATAGTCGCCACTCCTGGACGTCATGTAAAGACGTTAGGAGGCCCTACGGGCGGGTGTAGCTTGCTCCCACTCCCACACAACTCCCAGTCTTACCTTCATCTGCCTGCGTTCGCGTTGAGCCGCTTGTCAGTCGCATTCTTCTCCATAATCCCCCGCTCCTGGACGGCCATTAGCTTATCCAGTTTGCACTCCCAGGCGATTGAACCCATGCTGATGCGGTCAGTCTCAATCCAATCTGTATGTCTCTTTTCGGCCAGTATTTTGTAAAATGCCATGAAATTGAAGTAGTTGCAGCCAACACAGGCCTCTACCTGCACCAAAAGTACAAATTAGTGGTGCAGGCACCTGGCTGTAGCTGTGGATAGCTGTAATCTAGCTGTATCCCGCAGCCTGGCTGTGGAGGCCTGGCTGGCACCAAGAAGGTGCGGCTGCGTCTGGGCATAGGGCGGCCAGTCCCTACTGAGCTGCTTATAGCGGCCTAAGTCGTGACAAACATTCACTAGGGCTAGGGGGCGGTGCATCCACCGCATCCGTGTGGATATCACCTTCGAAGTGCAGCACATTAATAGTGCAAGCACATGGCCGGACCTGACTTTTGTTATGTTTGCGGCCTTGACTGCCCATCGACAGAGGACTCTGCAAGACTGTGCTTGCACGGGCGTGATCTGTTGCGCGAGTTGTAAACAGTGCCAGGCATGTGAGACAGGTCTGGCCAACTTTTCTCCTTGTCCGTGGGTACTACTGCTGGCAAGGGATCCTTGCCACATGGTTGAACGTGGACTGTGTTCTCTGTGGGGTCATTATGTGGCCTTGTATTGCCATATTAATCACAGACTCCCGCATGATAAATACGTGTTCGCCCATGTCTTGGACACCTGGGGAGGGTGCGGGATCCACGTTTGCAACTGCCAGGTTACAAGGTGAGCTGCTCCTGCCCATATGAAGCCCCCAGGCTAAGACTGCTAACAGACCTGTTTTGTCAGGGAGCACAGCTTCCAGGTGGTGGTGATGGGTGGCGCCCACTAACCCGCATCTTGGTGGTCCTTCTTACCCGCACCACACCCCAAGACACAACATCCTGCCTCTGTACTCCTTTGGTGCACCCAGACCGGGATCACGTCATGGTGAGATGACAGATCCCAGGGCCAGGCCAGCCACATGGGTGAAACAGACGAACCAGCATTCGAACCAACATTCATGTTAATCATGGCATGCCATAAGCAAACCACCATTAGGCCCCCCACCTTTTCGGGTCAGGGTGCATATTGTGGGTATGATGAGCTGTATACTTAGCGTTGTGGTTGCCAGTACAAGGTGTGTTGTGTTCATGTCTGGTCTTGTGGTGGTAACCTCCTTGCAAGTTACAGAAGCCCTCTTCACCGAATTCTGGGCACTCATACTGCCTCCTGCTCTTATGTACCATCACTCCGCCTACTTGTGATGCTGTCAGTGAAACTACAACCACGCACCAGGTCCGCATTCGAGTTGGTTACATATCCCAGCCTGGCAAGAAGTCCTGACCTGAAAACCCGTCATTGTCATGTCTGTGACTTCGACTGATCAGCACCAAGGATTTCATCCGAAGGAAACCCATATGTTCATTTGCAACTATACACCGTCTTGCATTCCTTCCAATGTGTCCTGCACTACTCCATGCCCCATACCGCATCATAGATAACCATCTCTGCCCAGGCAACCGGAGTCCGGTGACCATACACATCAAGTGATATGTGGGCTGCAGACTCTGCTGCCTCCTTGGTGACACCCAGTGCAAGCATGTCCTGCACCGGATTCTCCCCGAAGTTGAAGCCGCCACGCTCCGAGACCTTTAGCTGAGCTCGAACGTAGAGCGGCACCAGCACGTTGAAGTCATCATCCAGGTCTGCTGCTTGAGCATGTTCCCGCCAGGGGATGAACTTGGTCGGGTCAATCCTACAGCGTTCTAAGTAGTCGGCAGTTGCCAAAAACGGTTTCGTGGCCCGTGAAGCCTGCCAGGAGAGGTACAACAGGCAAGTTGTCGAAGTCAGGACAAGTTTGAAATCGGGAAGAGTTGGGAAAGCACCATGAAGGGCAGCTCATTGTTCTGCCAGAGGTGTAACATGGGCCAACACAACAATAATCCGGCTCAATCGGTTGGTGGGGTTTTGGCCGTGCCCAGGGAACAACTCGTAACCCGAGGCATGAGATATTGTAGCAGCCGGTACACAGTACGGCGCTATAAATACGCGCAGAGCGCGACCGCCAGCAACTCGAGAGACCTTTTCAGCGGTCAGCTGCTACATTTGGTATCGAGACCTCGTGAAAATTCACGATCCTGAAGTCGTCGGTTCAACCCCCACCGATCACGTTCGAGTGGTATTCGGGTGCGGCGACTCAGAGAGCGAATATCGCACAAATTATAAAAGTAGCTGAACCGACTGGACTGTCTCTGTGCCTGAAAAATCTGAAGACGGCTAGGCGCATGTGAGCCGGCACATGACGTGACGTGGAGTAATTACCCACTGCCCGAGGGTAGGCGAAGGTAGGCACAGGCTGGTGGCATACGAGGCTCTAAGGGCCCGGGACGGTTCCCTTCAAAGGGGGGGGAATGTAGCAGCCGGTACACAGTACGGCGCTATAAATACGCGCAGAGCGCGACCGCCAGCAACTCGAGAGACCTTTTCAGCGGTCAGCTGCTACAGATATCAACTAAATGTGGCCCTGGTGTTGAATGCCCGGCTGATTACCCTTGAGGTTGCTCAAATGTCGCACCCTTTCCACAACAACTTTGACTCGGGAGTGCTATGAAACTGCAATTGAAATTCACTGAAATCGCTATCTTGTCGTTATCTATCCGTCCAGGATGTGCTCTCACCGGCGGCGTTGGCGTTGAGGTCGCAGAACCAGTTGGGGGTCTGACATTCAGCATGTCGCTAGAGTGTCCTGTGGAGTCAACTCCTACGACAGGATAAGCTCAGGAATCGATTAGCCCAGGTTCTCAATCTCACACGACTGGACTAAGGTGTAGTTAAAACCCACGTACGCGTTCCAGTTTTAGCCGCATGCACGATTTCGGTATATAGGGTTTATATAGGGTTTAGGGTTTTAATTGTAGGGTATATTTAGGGTATAACCGACCATATGTGAACTCCCGCTAAAATAGCACCCACCCAGTTACCTTACCTTCATAACGGTCCCCACAAGATGTTCCATGATCTGTTCCGCAAGACATGCTTGCCTTATGGCGCCCGACGCGCGTTGTCACAAATCGGGCCGTAAATTTGTATAGGTTCACTGGTCGGTGCACCAGCTGCTTAAAGCTGCCCACCCCGTTTCCCAAGTCCGCAAATCGCGCTGGTCAGATAGGTTCAAGCAAGTATCGTTGAAGATGACGTCCTTGGGTATCTGGAAGACTACAATTGCCATGTAGTGACGGCGTGGATAGCTGTGAGTCCGTGGTGGACTGCGGCCTCCAAGCTATCCGTCAAATAGAATCCCCGTGCAAAGTCAGATTCGTTAACAGAAACTTCCAAGCTAAGTCCGTGCTATAGCAGGAAGATTGCATATCCAACGTGAAAGAACAGGACTGAGGCAATAGGCAAGCCACGAAGCTTACACATATATGTGTAAAGTCACATAAATCCGATAAACGATGGCCAGCTCGCTTTGGCTCAGTCAACTCGCCCGCAAGGCCCAGGAAATCTCAAGTCCCGAAGGCCTTTGCAAGCCTAATGTTCTCATGGTGATCTCATGGAGACTGGATCTATAGGAAGAGTTTCAAGCGACGGGGAAGTCCGGCGGTAGGGACAATTGGCCCCACCAACTCCCGAACCGCACCGGAACCAAACCGGACTATCGGACGAAAAACACACAAACAGGCTACAGTGCGTGGCTATTTCCTCACGGCTTCATGTAAAGAAGCTACTGCACGGCTTCATGTGTAGAAGCTACTAAGTGTAGCGTAATTCATTCCACCCAAAGGGAATGCCACCCAGTAGTTATGCGCAAAAGAGCCTTAGTGCGTCTTTTCATACCTGCTAAATGTCGTCCAAACTGCAGCTGCCCCCTTCTGTGCCTCAAAGCCCCAGGAGCTCCTACTAGTGTCATCCATGGCCACACCCAACAAACAAGGTGTACTCAACTGCTGCTAGTCGTTGGATAGCTGCTTTGTGCATTGACATCTCGTTTTTCTAGTTTTTTTAGGGTCCTTGCCACCCTAAAAGCCTAAAAAAGGGTACACCGTGCTGACTGCACCATTCCGTGTATTTTGAGCACGTGACCCACGGCGGGGACCAGCAACAGACACCAGCAACGGATGTACACTGCCATGGTGCAGCCTTCGTGTTGCTGCTGTGCTGTCCCGGCATCGATGTTCTGGCTAGCTACGACCAAATATACCCCACATACACGTGCACCAACGTATATAAACATACCTTGACACCCACCCGCCCCATCACAAGCATATCCGCACACGTACAACAACACACCAGGCTGGCTGATTACCCAAGCCAGGGTAGACATGTCCAGTGCAAGAGTGATATTTTGCTTATGTCGAGATTCAATCTCGAGACCTCCCGCTTACTAAACGGGTGCTCTACCACTGAGCTACACACGACGTAACGAACAATCTGTGGTGGGGGTGAAACAGGACTTCAAACAACTAATGTAAATGCCTGGCTGATTCCTTGCGGCTTGCGGCTTGTGGCTTGTGGGTGGTGGCTGCTATCCCCTCCGCAGCCTTGACTTGAACGAAAGCACGCATAATGATCCTGATGGCAAATCTTCGCTGGCTGCTGGTGCAGCAGCCGCTAGCGTAGCCACGACAACAAGCAACAGGGGCCTGGTCCAAGCATATGCCGCAGAAAGCGGCAGTACTAGTGGGAATAAAATATTTACCCCTGTCAGGCCGGGATGTCGGCACTCACTGGCATCTCACTGGCCACTAGTCGCTCCACGGTACATCTGGCAGCCGTAGTCTTGGATATTGGCACGTGAATGCGGTTGTGATTGGTTGCTTCTTATATGCATGTACTTGGTTTATGTACGTGTCCTGTTAGGCTTTATTTTAGGTGGAAGCAACCGTTTCCTTGTCGGCTACATGTGCTAGTGTTAGTCGCGCTGTGTATCTCAGAAAATGCAGATTTTGCGTGCAAATATAACATTAACACACATATAGCTCGCTACCTTCTGCTCTCAAACTGCCCCCTCATGGCTCTTACGCCTCCACACGCACTCCCCTTTCGGTACAGCAGCCGGGCAGAGTCTACAAATGCGTGCAGGTAAAGATTGATACCCCACGTACGGGCAGGGTCGATTCACATCCAGGACAACCACTACGTGTACATTATTCGCCGTAAAACCGGAGTACTGATCGTGTAAATTTCTAACTCTTAAGGGGCATTCATCCTGCAGCAGTAGATACGCCAAAGGGAAACAGCCGGACTAAGATTTACGCAAGACAAGGGGAGCAGGAGAAGATTCCCCGAGCGGGGCATATCGACAAGCATGATGCAGGTGGAGGTGGAGGTGGAGGTGGCGGACCCTGGTGAAGGCGGCGGGAGCCCCTCCATCCCAGGTACCCACGCACCCTACCGATGGTAATCCCGCCGCGCCGTTCACACAGCAAGCAAAATGTTGCATACATGCAATCGCACGGTGCAACAGGGTCGACCGCAGCAGCAGTAGCAGCAGTAGTAGCTCTGATCAGTCGCATGACGAAAATGAAGTAACACTCGCGAGGGCTTATGTTGCCAGGTCTTGGCCTAAGTAGTGTCATCTTGCGATGAGTCACCAACGTTATCTATATAACTAAGTCTTAATGATGATGATGATGATGATGATGATGATGATGATGATGGCTGGCTACGTCACCATCAAAATACAAGCCATCAATCTTTGTATAACGAAATAAACACAAGTCGTATTTTCCGAGCTGCATGAGAGGACGTCATACGTCATCTCGCAAACGTCACGATGACATTAAGTACGACATGTTGCGGTGGCAGGAGAGCCAATCAATAGGCGACAATGCAGCTGGCGGCGTCGGTGTCGGTGTGTCGCTTTATCACGATACGCAAGACCACGCACACTATCAGATGATGGCGATATGTCGTAGGCCTCCGAGCGTCCACGTCACCATCACCCATTAAAGCAGCTGAAGAAGAGGAAATCAGGCATTGCTGGCGGCGGTGCTGTCGGTGGGTGGTGGTGGTGGTGGTGATGATGGTGGTGGGAACTCCCGGATGAGTCTCTCAACGTAATCCAGCGCCTTGCCACTCAGTAACCCGCGGCCCAAGGTGCTCTGCAATGTGTCGTACACACCCTTGGACGAGTACTCCGCCACAGCGGGGTTCACTGCGGCTACGGCTGTGGTTGTGTCTGCAACACCGGCGCCGCCACCGTCAAGCGCCCCGGCCTGAGCGGGGCGGGAGGATGGGGTTGTGTGAGAAGGTAGTTATTGCCGTACGTATATATGTGCGGGGTATAGCGGGTTTCGGAGACAGAAAGCCGGTTCAGCGGGCCCGCCGGCGCAATCCGCACAGGAAAGGAGAAAAGCTACCACGCGGCTTTCGCTCTTTCCTTCCCATCACGACCGCATCCAGTCCAGGCCCCAGCCCTTCCCTCCCTCCCGCCTTTCTTCCCCGCATGACCCCGCCTCCCCCCTTCCGCTCGCCCCTTCCCTCGCTCGTGGTTCGTCTTTTCCCCCCTCTCCGCACACCCTTCTCTCCCACCCACCCCCAACCCGCCACTACCCACCCACCTGCGCCATGGCGAGCAGCGCCTCTGCCGCCGCCACGTTAGCCGCCGCATCCGTTCTCTGGCTCTTGGCCGCGTGGCTCGACAGGTACTCGGCTAGGGGGAGAGCAGCACCCGCCTCCAGGACCGCCAGGGCTAGGGACGGGAGGCCCTGATGGGTGGGGGGAGAACGGGTCAAGGGGGGAGACATGGGGGGAAGAAGACGAACCACGTGACCGAGGGAAGCTGATGCCAAGGAGGATATAAACTGACATGCCAAAAGTGAAAAAGGAAGGAATAGCTACCCAGTTGCGACTTGTGAAGAACAAGTCTTCTCGGTGGGTGGGGGGAGGGGAAGGAGAGGGGGAGGGGGGCCACGGGGGGTAGACCTGGGAATCGGGGGGAGGTGTGTATGTGTATTATTTGTGTTGTGCTGAAAAGAGGAAATATATCTGATCGCGCCCTACCGCGTAGTGAGAAGTTAGGCGAGGGCATGCGTTGAGAAATCTGAGTAGGTGTATTGATGCTTGTTTGTCGTTTTGTGCAAACCCATGCGTGGATGTGAATTAAAGTACGTTTGTATGCAAGTATTGCGGTAGTTTTCCTCACCCAGCGGTTTAGTTCATAAGCGCGGGCTATTGTGGTACGCGCTATCTTGGTACAATCCTGTAGTACAAGTGTCGTACCATGTCGTACTACTACATAAAAAACAATACGGCATAGTACGACACTTGTACTACAGGATTGGCACGCTACCATACGGGGGGTTTCACGCACCTTTGTGGCCATGTTAGATAGGGCCCAAGTGGCCTCCCGATGTACGGCATCTGATGTACTGCAGCGCTTGAATACGGCGGTTATCAGGGGCAGCAGCCCAGCATCCTTAATTGCCAGGGCCTGGTCCTGTAGAGAAGGAATGGACGGGCGGTGTGGCAGCGTGAGTGAATGTGGGGCAATGTGCGAATAAGGGACACACAAGGGAAACGTTGGCTGTAGATGACCGGGGGCCGTAGGTGTTGGGTTGGCGGGGAGGGGAAGGGGCCGCAGCCCGAGGTGGAGTGTTTATTGGAAACAAAGAAGACGAAACACTAAACACCTTTCAAATAACACAAATATCTTTTTGGGTGTCGTCAATGGTCTCAGATGAACATCAAAACACTATGTACATGTCGTACAACTCCTACACCGCAATTTCCCCCGGTTGACAACACAAATATCTTTTTGGGTGTCGTCAATGGTCTCAGATGAACATCAAAACACTATGTACATGTCGTACAACTCCTACACCGCAATTTCCCCCGGTTGACAGTGCTTCTTGGTACGACAAACTTAGCTTTTCTGGTTAAAGAAATGCCGTACCACCCGCCTAACTGGCCTTCCTCCACCACCACCCTCCCAACCCACCACCACACGCCCACACGCTTGCAACTTCTCCCCTCCTCCGTACACACACACACACACATACCACACACCCCTACCTGTGTCCCTGCCGCAATGTTCGACAGCGCAAAGCACACCTCCCTCAGCAGCCCCGGGGCATCACTGCCTTGCAGCAACCGCCGGTAGCCCGCAGTCAGCACACCTGTGTCAATGACCAACTGTGGGGGATCGTAATCGTACGGTTCGTTGATCAGTTAGTTGGTTGTTAGTGCGTTGGCCGTTGTAATGCTGAACGGGCTCAAACAGGCTGCATTAAGCGAAACCAGCGGATAGGTAAACGCAAATTAGCCTCCACATATATTTATACATGCATGCACGCGTTATAAAGAATAATCCACGCAACCTCGGATGCCCAATCCATGCAGGCCAACTTAGGGGCGATAAGAACAGCAACGCTGTGGGACTGCAGCTCCCAAACCGGCAAACCGCAAATTTCCCCATCCACCTGCCCCCCGGCCGCAAACCCGCAGGCGCACATGCATCACTTCCACTAACTCACACAGACAGACAGACAGACACACAAAGCTCTTACTTGCGTGGCAGCCTCGTCTCCAGAGCACAGCGCCGAGAGCACTTTGGCGGCGGGAAGTACGACACCCTTGGGTGTGGCGCTGCGGAGCCAAACCGGGTGTAGGCGTTACGAGGGGGAAGTAGGGGTGAAAAGACATTTTACAACAGCAGCATCGAGAAGTATCATCATCATCATCGTTATTATCGCCATCAAAGCACCTGCTTGCTCCCATCGCGGTGGGGAGCAGTGAGTGTTGAAACTACAGTCGCCCCTAGGGAGCAGCAACAGGCGCGTGTGGGCTGCTGGCCGACAGGAGGGAGAGGGGGCGCCCGCTGAACTAGGGGTCCGCAACACATACACGTACACACACATACACGTACACACACATGCACACACACAGTTCGGTGTCGGGATTAAAGTCGCCGCCCTCGCCATCCCCCCCGCCGGCCGACCTGGGCTCTGGCAGTGACCCAGTGACCCGTCCCCATACGTAACTTACCTACCTACCTACCTACCTACGTACTTCACTACATACAGATAAACACTTAGCTAACAATCGGGAGAAGTACCCGTCGATGTTACCCAGCCTTTCCCCGTAGCCCCAGCCCCGTTCATCATGCCCACGGGCCCCCACCCCCCACCTCCTCACCCGCCCTCACCCACGCACTACCGCCCCC